AAGTTTAGAACAGCCACTTAATCGACATATAATTATAAAGCCTATTGATTTAATAAATGGAAATTTGATAATAGAATGCCCTGTGCATTCAAGCTTATTAATTAATATTTCTCAAGAAAGTTCAAAAGAATTTACACATATGAGTTACACTGCTTGTACAAGCAAGCCAGATACTTTTAAGCAAGAAAATTTTTCTCTCCGTCAAACTAAATATGAGTCGACAAGAATGACTGAATTATTTATTTTGATAATCATAGTTCATTAAAAAGCAAGTGTACAGCATATGATATATGATCATACATAACAGCAATCTACAACACTAATTAAATTCTGTGCGCGTTTTCTGAAAAATTATTACCTAGGTATTCAAAGAAAGATCTGTCTTGCCGTAAATGAAAAGGATAAGGGAGAATGAGTCAATTTATCATATTTCAGTTCGATAAACTCTCGTGTAAACAAGATCAAGTTAAGAACATTATATAATAACGATTGCAAGATCCACAATATACCATTATATATATATATATATAGTTATTATATTTAAAAAAACTGGCAATACATATAAAAAATAAAGTAAAAAGGTATAAGGTATAAATACCTAATCTTTAAAAAACAAGATTAAAAAAATACAAGATCTGCAATATGCTATGCGTAATAGAATAAATAACTGAAAACAAAAACTTGTTTTATAATATATTCTCAATAGTAAATAATATACGTATATGAGGATTTTATAGATTTAACCCATTTATAACTGATAATTCGCCAATAGATTGCCCATGTAAATAAAACAGGTTTAATATATATATAAGATTTGCAATATACTAATTCAATATTTTAGAATAACTGGACGTAAAAACTTGCTTCGTGTTTTCTCGATTGTAATGTTATATGCTATTAATTTATTAATATATAGCAGAACAGATTGCCATTTAATTTCCAAAATTTTAACTTTCTAACTTGTAAAAATGACTAAACAAGATGTACGAACCCATTTACTCAAGGTTTACATGACTTTCGGAATTCTTGCTTTCAGAGTTTATACTTGTTTGTATATTATTAGGGTATGTTATTTTTAAATCATCATGTTAACGTTATATAGACGCGCGCTAATAGTACAATAGGACCTCCCTGTATGTATTTCTTTAAAATGTCAATTTGCCACCATATAAACGAAACATGGTCACGCACTGTAAAATAGAATAACTGATAATTATTTTGAAGGGCCAATTTCTATGCCCGTTAAGTGCACGCTCTTTAAGTGCAAGTGTACATTTTCTTTTTTTTTTTGTATTATGGTCTCAATGGGTGCACTTAGGAAGGTCTTACTGTATATTGTATATTGATGTTTTAAATTTGCCATTATTGTTATAGCTGAATTCGTATTTTTTTTGTCTTTAGGTATTAGCATTTGTTCTAGAATTTGGATTTTGGATCGAAAACGTCTTTTCATACTTGGCAATCTGCAATATGAACTTCATAATTTTCTGTCCTTTTGCAGTACTGCAATTATTAATCGATGAAAGATTTGAGGCTCTTGCATTTATTTTAAGATTTGCGATTTCGGTGCCGATATGGTATTTATTCATTAACGGTGGTTGGTTTTCTTATTTGAATTTCATTGGAATGTTTTGTTTAGGGGGTATATATAATCAATTTTTCATCACGATATTTAAAAATTTTGACTTGAGTACAGTATTAATTATTTTTATGCCTTACAGTCTTATTTGATGTTGAATCTAAAATTCGTCACAGCAAATTCTCATGATTCCATAGGTTATTTGTTTGGTTTTATTGTCTTATTCGGTATCAACGGATGGTTTTATGATTTTAATTTCATAGGATGGTTTTGTTTATTAAGTATATATAATTCATTTCTCATTCATCTTCAATTCTTGACTTGAGTATAGTAGTCTTACTTGTAAGTGAACTTAATGCTCATCGTTTTGCGAAATCGGGATTTATAGGACATGCATTTTATTTGTTCATTTTTTTTTGCATGTTGTCATATATTTTTAGTTATACTGTATTTTTGGTTAATGCACAGAAGCGTTAATTAGAATATTTAATTGATTGTATAATTAATTATTAAATTAATTGAAATTAATTCACCAGAATCAAGGTTATTAACTTAACTCGTATCTCTATTAGTATTATCCGAGTCCTAATGAGTCCCACGAAGTTGAAGTATAAGCACATGGCTCACGTTAAAGGGCCTATTTTTACATATATCTCATTTTTTGAGATAATCGATGTTTTGATTTTCAGACTGACTTTCATTTATAAACTGCTCTAAATTTTTAATAAATCTATATAAAGTCAACTAAGGATTTTTTGAAAAATTGGCTAATTAAGCCTGCTAAGCTGATTTTATCGACTAATGCCAAATCGACTACAAGCACTAATTTTAAGTTATGTAAGTTACTATGTGCATAAGTTATTCACTCTTTAATAACCTTAACGTTAATGCTGGCCGGCATTAATACCAGCTTACTATGATAAATTTTGTAACTTATATAAGGTCATGTAACTGAGTCACATTGTCAGGTAAGTTATTAACCTAGCTTGAAATTATATTTTAATTTTGTCTGGAAGGAATTATACTTAATTTTACTTGATTATTTTTTTTTAATTTTGCCTGGAACTATACTTAATTTTTTGCCTGAAATTATATTCTAATTTGCCTGGAAAAATATTTTTTTGTATTGTCTCTGTAAGATAAAAAATTAATACAATGTAAAAAATATTTTTAGAGCAAGCAAAATTATGCACCGCAGAATTCTGAACACTAACCCTAAATAACTCTGTTTTTTTTTTTACGGTAATAGAAAAATGAATAGCTAAAACCGAATTAAAAATTTTTAATTCAAAGTAATTTAGACTAAACTTAATTTAAACGAAAAATGATATAATTGCAGCAGTAATTGGATTTAACTTTAATAAATAGAAATGCTAGGACTAAACAAAGAAAACGACCAAATTCTGTTGGATTGACTTTTTCTATCCTCAATTTATAGTTGTTAGACGAAACCATGTGATGCTAAATATCACCTGATACAAAATACCAAGACCTAAAAATTTAACCTAATTTTTATTAAGATTTGATATGTGACATTTAGCATCACATGGTTTCGTCTAACAATATCAGTATATACACAAAATATAGATAATCTCGAAGAATTAGTAGGATTACATGTTGATTGATAATTTGAAAGAGTTAACAACTGCAAAGCTCAAGTAGTTCATTTACATAGAACTTTGTCAAAATTACGATGTAATGCTTGCACAAACATTTGTCTTTTTACACTGCAATATTGTGATATTTTCAAGAAAGGTGAAGCTCCAAATTGCCCCAAATGTGAAGAGAGAGGTAAATACATAAAATACTGTATATTCCCGAATAAAAGCAATCTAAACAAAAAATTTTCAATTATGAGTTTCTAATTATTAATAGAAAACACTAGGGCCAAACAAAGGAAACGACCTCATTATATTGTTTTGCCTAATAACTTAACATAAAATATTTTACTTTGATTCTAAATATTGAATGACAAATTAACATTATTTTTAGTTGATAGCCAATCAGAAGGATTTTTAATACCCAAAATTGAGTTTATTTTTTTTGTACTGCCGTATTTGTATACCCGGGTACTTGTAAAATAAAATAGATTATGATTTGTCTGTTTATTTGTAGGATTCCAAAATTTTGGGCAAACGGAATATGTACTTGTTATTGGTTAGGTTGTGGATGATAACTGATTGATCGCTAGGTTACTATATAAATCACATGGCTTTGCCACGTCTTTATATTGTTCCCTATGAATAATTATTTCATTACAACTTAACTGATAACATTTTTATCCGTAAGGTCCGA